ATATATATATATATGAAACATAAAATTTTATGCAATTTTTCCACAAATAATGTGCGCCCTACTTTTATTACTAACAGGCTAAACAGCGGTGTTGAATTCAGGGCTGACTACATCTTCTAGCACTATCAAATTGCTTGTCACCTGAGAAAATTTTCCTTACCTTCCTCTTCTTCGCCAAGACCCTCAGGGACAGATTAAACTAGGCATTGACGTACACAAATAAGCGACTAAGATGAACTGACTGATCACTTGATGCAGCTCACACTAGGTGATCCCCCATGAATACAGGCACGTGATTCAACTATTTTGTCAGACTACACGCGTCGGGTTAAGCTGGACACTTGAGTCTACTAGATGGCGCTTTGATCGACCAACGAACACAGTGAGACATTGCCTATTCGGCCGAGATAATCCCAAACTGCAGCAGCACCCAATGGTCAAAACAAAAATCATGGAACAAATGGTTTTGGTTAACGAACGTCATACAACTTCGATTGCTCAGTTGTGTATATCGGAATCGTGGCAAGCAGAGTATCCGTCAATGTAGTCGCCAATTCCCAGAAGCCAGCTTTCAGGAGGAACTAGCCAATAAAAGCGGTACGCTTGCGTTAGTCCCTCAAAGCGAAGTTAAGCAATAAAATTCCGCTCAACTGAGTGTGCCTCATAGGAAATTTCACATCTGTTCGATTTTTGAGCTGAGTTCTTCAGATGCATATGATCATATTGTTCGGATGCACAGCCTGTTTCTGATTTAGTACGAACATGTATACTATTTGTTGTCTAAGACCACCCATTTTTCCTGACCACAGTCATCACTCATAGATGAGTTAATTTCGCAATATGAACAACATAATAGTTTCTCCGAGTCAATTGGAGGATTGTAAGCGAATCCTCACTGTCGGCTATGAGAATACAGATTGTCCATGGCCTCACGAATAGCAGAGTAAACGGTATGAGCGCTGCGATGAAAGCTACTCGATCAATCTTCTGATGAAGTTCCTGGCGAGAAAGTAAGCTATACGGTGACACAATGTCGAAGTTTTTGAGTAGCAATTATCTAGGGAGCGAAACAGTCTTCTCATTCTGTAGTTGGAGGTCATGCGCCTCAAACATGTGGCCTACGCTCCCCCGAGAAAGTAGGGAAGACATCTTGGCTGATTACGGTGAATAAAGTTATACCTTAAGAAACCACAAACAGGACCATGCGATGTTCATTGGTGGTTAAATGAGCTATTGACCGCGCTAATTGTTTTGTTTGCTGGCAATAGCATTGGGTGGAGAATCAGAAGATGGAACTACCAGTGGATTATTTCAATATACAGGCTATTTTATGGCCACCTCCTGATAGATCAATATAATATGGTTAAAATGTACAGGAAAATCCTGGTCAATTTCTAATTTAGAACTCCTGATGATCACTCCTCATCGCTTTCTATGAAATCTTTGCGGGGGGAGACATTATTCCATCTGTTTGATATTCGAGCCCAAAAGGTCATTTTTTCTATCCTAGCTATGTAACTATTGGAATATTCTGTACACAGATACGAAATAGAATTAACTCAAAAACATCTGAAACGTGATTTCAAGGCTTGCGTATGACTGTAAAGGTTAATTCAACACCATGGATGAACTGAAGATTGGCTGAGGGGATGCGTAGTAAAGTTTGGTTTTAAAACACTGGTATAGTATAACGATAAGTGTGAGAAAACTCTATCTTTTATAATGATAAATGAAAACGAAGGTCACATTTCATGGAGTATGGTGCTGTCTCGTTGAGACTTGAGACCGTTTTGCACCGTTTCAACATACAACATGAGGTGGCAAGAGTTATGTTCGATTCTAAGTAGAGTGGATGATAACTTCAATGGACATTGAGATGTATGTTGAAAATTCAAAAGCGGGTTTGCTCAGTAGTGGTCTACAGTTGGAATACTTGTATGCAAATAAAGATTGGTTGCGCGTTCGCAGGGAATTCGGAACAATGTCTGACCGTGCACTTCATCTGAACACTCGAATAAACACCTATTATGACCTTGCACGTTATACAAGGCACACGTTAAGATTAAGCTACTTAGGGGATTCGTCAAAGCGATCGCTTAAATTCCGACGGTGTCGCCTAAATGCACTTTTCCGCCCAAGCTTAGGTCGTAGCAAGGGGCCAAATCAACAAGTTTTAATAAAAAATGTATTCACTGTATTGACAACAATGCCTGTCAAAAGTGCATACAGATCAGCCACAGTGTTCACGTGCATATTGTCTGCGTGTTCATCAGAGGACTTTGGCTGGATCCTTTATGTAAAGGCACCGACTCTCGCACTACGTCCTGCAGGACATACCACTGCTAACCCCCCACATGCCTTATCCTATTCTTCCAACATGAAGCTACTGTGCACCTCCCCATTCTGTCCGCTGAATACAGGACAAGATGGGAAACCAATAAGGTGTAAAGCAAAGTGGAACTGTTAACATTCTCGAGAGCACTAGCCATCTGCCTTGACCCTGCACGAAAAGATGGAAGGTGCCACCAGATATATGCTAACTCCCGGCCACTCCGCTGCCCATCTACTAGGCTGGATTCATCCCTTTCAATTACATTGAGTAGCTAGTTGCATTTGCAAGCAGTTATATCACTAAGTGTGGCAGATTAGTGATCAGTTCAAAGCACTCATTTGCGTGAAGGGTACAGCACTATAAGCTGATATGACAGACTGCCAATGTCTGAGAACCAGAGGAATCAATATACAAAATTTGTGTTCGTTTGAAATAGCAAGATGGCTGCTAGAGCGATGGTTACTCATTTTTCAATTGAAAATTGACTATAACAGACAAACTGAGGGTGGCAAACCCAAAAAATGCATATTAGAGGCAACAGGTCACTAATTGGACCTCGGCTTGGCATCGAAGCCAACTGGAACTGTCCAACACATGGCTAGGTTCGGGAGATCGAGTCATATGGTTGTGACGATTAAAATTATTGATAACTACCTCAGCTACTTTTGATTTGTATCTTATTGGTTTGGTTTACCGCGACCGTGTGGAAAAGTGTGGTTAGGCGACACCGTCAGGAACAGTTAAGTAGGGAGGAACAGAATGGTTTATCCAATCTTAAGTTAGGTGTCCTTGTGAAGAGCTAGCTGGATTACGCTTTCATAGAGAACATGGTTGAATAGGCCTATATGAAATGACCCGAGTGCCACACATGTGCGCAGTCAAATTAGAAACAGAAAGAAAAGCCCCCCTTATTTGGTGAAATAGAAATGAACGATAGGACTGTACGATACATATTCACCCTAGGTTTGCGTTCAAGGCCACCCGTGGCGCTAGCTGACAAGCTCAGTCATGGAAATAGCCAGGCCAAGTGCTATTGATCGCATAATTTCACCTCAGTTATTGATTAAACGAATGGGGGGTTGACACAAGCGCTGGTGCGTAAACAATGGACATGATCACCTGGTCCTAACAAAATACATCATAGAAACAGTGGTTTTGGATAGTTTGAACCGAAAGTCGGAGACAGAATCCACAGGTAGCTAAGCAGACAACGAATCAGTGAGTAACATTTCGTTGAGAATTTCACATAGACGACGATTGTAAATTAGCCGCGGAATTTGAGTGGAAGGTGTTTTTGAGGAAGTAAGAATCTAACCTTCCTCAGAAGCATACATTCACCCTTACCAGCTTAAGGAAGCCAGTAAGCATCGTTATTCTTTAGTTCAATGCACACTTCGCTGAATTGAACAATGTTGGTACTTTTGGACAATATAAGCGACATGTATATTCGATCCAGAATCCTGCTTTCAGCTTTCCCAAAATTTATCGCAACCCCACAGGATTCCAGCTCAGTAATATCCAGATTGAAAATTCTTCAGTAAATGCACACCGAAGAATGTGTCCGCGAATCCCCTAGTCGAGCAGTAATTGGCAATGTCTCACGTGGATCTAACGCCATAGTGGCGTTAAACTTAAATGCAGCAACAAAAGCTAGACAGACTCTGTTGTGAACCAGAAATGGCGGTCTTGTATCACATTGCTTTAAAGGCCTCTGTGGATGGGTTGGAGTGCGTACCTTATCAAGTGTATCAGTCGAACTTTCCCTAGGAGCTTCTTTCGTCTAGTCCGTGTCACCTCAGCTACTGCTAAAACGTGTGGCCCAGAAAAGTAGA